ACTTAGTAAATATTTTTATTAAAGTTTTCGAATACACACCGCCCAGCGGTAGGGATTCAAAGCCACCAATGGCCAGTCCCGAAAAAACAACGACAGAATCAAAAAACTAAGAACATCACACATCAAAGTCATCAAACGCGGACTGATCGACTTCACCATCCACGTCCGAAATCCCAGGACCAACTTCGACCGAATCCGGCGACACCACGATGTGATTCCATTGATCCCACATGCGCGCCTTAAGGTCGAAAAATTCGGATTGCATATCTCTTTCCCGACTCAGGTCTTTCCGCCGTGCGGAGAATTCCTTATCAAACGAATACCCTTCATTCTGAGTTAGGGATAACCCATGAACGACCCCGCGACATTCGCGATAATCACCATGCGCTCGTTGAACAATTTCCGCGTCGGAACAACCGGTTGCAAATCGCTCGCGACGAGCCTTCATCTCCTCGGCAACCTCTCGTTTGCCCGCGCGACGAGCACGACGNCGCGTCGGAACAACCGGTTGCAAATCGCTCGCGACGAGCCTTCATCTCCTCGGCAACCTCTCGTTTGCCCGCGCGACGAGCACGACGAATCCTTTGGTCAGAAAGCTCCTTCACACGACGAGACCTAGCCGCACACTCATCCCTCACACGAGCAACCTCCTTTGCGACCACTTCTTCGGCTTGGTTAGCCTCGACCTCTGCCCGAAGACGAGCAACTTCTTTCTCGGCCACGTTCGTTCGAAACTCGGCAAGGCGAGCTTCCGCGGAACGATTGTCCAGGGCTCGGCCCATGATAATAAAACCCTACCAAAGAAAAGAATTAAGCGATGTCATAAAAACCGCTCGAAAAAGAAAACAATAAACACATGTACCTCCTTAGCTTTCTCGGATCCCCTACTAAACTCCGGGACTTGATCATAGTCGATGTCCGGAAAATGGGAGGTCGACGATCCGCCCGCCTTCGTCCAGATGCCTTCTTCCGTCTGACTATCAAGAAAATCCTTGAGAATATTGTCAGGAGAAGTCGCGCGTTCAGAATCATTATCTTCGACAACCGGATTTTTATCCTTTCGGAAGCCTGACCTGCCGCTCCTCGTCGAGGGAACATGCGGAATAAACTCTCCAATAAACGGATCCTCTTCAAAAACCGGAGAATTCGCAAAGAGTCGAGATCGAAAGAGGGCAACCGCTTGGCGGACGCGTTGCGGAGAAAAAACTGCACCAACCAACTTCACCACATTTTAGAGAAGTGGTGATGCTCTGGAGATCCGCGGGATGCGGAGGCAAAGGGTTGGTCACTGCAGAAAAACAGAAACGAATAAAAAAAAGAATAATAAGAAGAGGATTCATATGAACTCGATTCACGTACCTCTCCGACCCCACATAGTCGTAAAAAATGGAATGCTACCCTCCTCGACCGACGCACTGTCGATACGAACGTAAAATAAATTTTTCTTCCAAGAAGTAGAGAGCGTTGGGCAGCCCGTAACAATTTCGTCATGAGGGCATAGAGTGATACTCCGTGATGCGCCCGTGGGCTTTAACAGAACCGCGAGATGATCGACGTTAAGGGTGAATCCTTCTCATAACTCAGCGTCAAAAGACCAACGAGTTGCTTTAAACTGGGGGGAGTCAACTGACTGATCGATAGTCTCAGCTTGTAAAGGTAATGCACAATGATTTCCGGAATCGGAAACCATAAGTGGCATTGTTGCAGGAAAATGTTGTAACAGGTGGAAAAACCGTCGGCCGCATCTCTGTCGCTCTCTCCGGCAAGTGGGGAAAGAAACTCAACGGCCTCTGGAACTCGGCAAAATTCACGCATGTAATCGATACTGTTGAAAAGTGTCGAGCTCAGATTTCCGGAAACATGATCGACGTCTGACAAGGCTGGAACCCAAATCCCAGGCCTAGCGGATCCCGACTCGTCTCCCAACGCCCAAAAGGCCTCGAGGTCCGCCCGATCGATTAACGGGGATGAATACTCCTCTTTCGGAACCAAAGCTGGAGGCTGCGAACTCGTTCCCTCAGAATTGTGGAAATTGGAACTAGTTGAGGAACGAGTCTTTCTTCCTAAAAACATGTTTGAAGATCTTCAAAGAAAGTGGAGAGAAAAATTTCTTGAGTAAGTTGTAGAAGGTGGAGTAAAGAATTCAAAATTTTACTCCATATACTTATAGGAAAGGATTTTACTATTCACCTTTGGACTTTTGTCCATTAAAGTTCCGCCTAATTCTACCAAACTCGCCAAACGAGCTTAATCTACTCGCAAGAACCTTACGATACTTACGAGCTGGGGGGCTAACTGTTGGGGTCAAAATCGGTACGACGGAATTAATAGCCAAAACTCCCCGCAAAAATATAAAAGGAATAGTTTTATAAAACCCGACGGTCGTTTTATAAAACTCGAGAAATCGTTTTATAAAACTCGAGAAGCCGTTTTATAAAACTCGAGAAATCGTTTTATAAAACTCGAGAAGCCATTTTATAAAACTCGAGCATCGTTTTATAAAACTCGAGCATCGTTTTATAAAACTCGAGAAATCGTTTTATAAAACTCGAGAAGCCGTTTTATAAAACTCGAGCATCGTTTTATAAAACTCGAGCATCGTTTTATAAAACTTGAGCATCGTTTTATAAAACTCGAGCATCGTTTTATAAAACTCGAGAAGCCGTTTTATAAAACCCGAAGATCGTTTTATAAAACTCGAGAAATCGTTTTATAAAACTCGAGAAGCCGTTTTATAAAACCCGAAGATCGTTTTATAAAACTCGAGAAGCCGTTTTATAAAACCCAAAGATCGTTTTATAAAACTCGAGAATAGTTTTACGAAACCGCAAAAAACCGAAAAAGCCATAAAATGCGAACTAGTCACGACTAGTTCGCCCATGAGCGAACTAAGAGGCACTCGACTAGTTCGCCAATGGGCGAACTAAGAGACACTCGACTAGTTCGCCAATTGGCGAACTAGGAAATGCTCAACTAGTTCGCCAATTGGCGAACTAGGAAATGCTCAACTAGTTCGCCCATTGGCGAACTAAGCTGGCCCGGCTTAGTTCGCCAATGGGCGAACTAGAAACTTCCTGGACGTCCCGAGCCTCGTTCTCCCGCACTTCCGATTCGAAATTTACGTCTTTCGACACGGTCGCATTCTGAACCACGGCCGGAACATCTCCCGTTCCATCTCGATCCGACCAATCGTTCGAGTTTTACGATAAAAACCGTAAAAACTTCGCTTTCTTGACAAAGAACTCGAAGAAATCGTATAAAACGGCGACGATTAAACGAAACGCCGAACATTGCTTAAAACATACGATTTATTCGAGATTTCTCGTCGAAATCATAAAAAGCGCGTTTTTAATAAAAAAACGTCGAGTAAATCGTAAAAAACGTGTTTTTAATAAAAAGTCGAGTAAATCGTAAAACCTTACGATTAACTCGAGGAATTTATTAAAAACGATGTCGGATCAGGAAACGATCCCGTAAAAAGTCGGAAAACGGATTTATCGCAAAACGGCCCTTTAAAACGCGATAAAAAACCCATCTCGCGATCTTAACGGAATTTAACCCGCAGATTCGATAACGTTTTGACGGTTTACTCGCAGGAGGAAATAAAAGACAAGTTCGAAGATAAAAGGAAGGTTTGAAGAAAAATAGAAGATTTCCGCGGAAGAAAAAGAAGGATCGAGAAAAATGGAAAATTTCCAATTTAGTCAAATCTGGGCGAAATGGAAAGATCGGATGGCCAAGGCAAGGAGTATATAAATAGGAGGTCTAGGGCAGAAGCAATACACACGAAATTCAGAGCTCTCACCACCAAATTTAGCAATTAGGAATATTTCCGTTTTCTGTTAGCGAGCTGCGTCTCAATTAGGGTTTTCGTTCTTAGATTCTAAGGATTTTGCCGACGGCTCACGCAGCTTTGGCCTCTCTATTGTACCAGTTCTTACGCAGATTCGGAATAAAGACCTTCTTGCTTTCAATCTCGTTATTTTCGTTTTAATTTATAAGTTCATCGTTTTCTTAATATTCGTTGTGCGGTTCTGCAGATAGCCGGTTCCTCTGTAAACTTAGGGTTTTCCCGAAGTTTCCTTATTTACGATTATTTGACACTAGGTGGATTTCGGTTCCAACAATAATATATAAAAAAAAAAAAATTTGAATAACAACAAAAGTTAAACATTTAGTTAAAAAAACCTTGAGGCCAAAAATTAAGCTCGATTATAAACTATATGCTCCTGAAAATATGTACGAAAATTTGAGACTGGTTGATTTGAGACTGGTTGATTAAAAATTAGAATAAGCCAGAGTGTAAATTCGTGTATGATGACCATGATACCAGTTAACGATGTATACGAAATTTCACAATTATTTACACAGAAAATGATATAGTGACGATTTAAATTAACAAAGACTAGATAAATTCGGTCAAAAAAAACAAAAAAAGACTAGATAAATTCGAAACGCACACACAAACGTTGTTCTTTGTCAAAAAAAAAAAAAGACAACACACACACGCATTTAAAGGAGTTTACAAGGGGGTGGGGAATTCTGGTATTGGGTGAGATAAACAAGAGAAATTTTAGTTACTTTGTCGTTAATCTCTATGCGTTTTATTGCAAGTGTTAATGTTTTGAATATAATATTGACAACGAAAGAGATTCCCGTAATAAAGAATTGGATTAGACGCACTTACACATGTTCCTACTATATATAATGCGGCTATGATTAAAGAAAGTTAACTTTATTACACAGGACATGCATAAAAAAACATAAAAAATATATTATTAATATTATTGAAAGGAAAAAGACCATACAGATGGCAACAACACTCACGGAAGCGTCAAATAGGAGTAGGGAAACATAACAATCTCAAAAAACAAGACTCGATTGGAATTCTCTTGAAGTAGATGAATTGGTCCAAACAATACATGGATATATCGATTTATCAGGACGAAGTTTCGGAAGAAAACTTAAGAGAAACACTGTTNCATGGATATATCGATTTATCAGGACGAAGTTTCGGAAGAAAACTTAAGAGAAACACTGTTGACGCAGTGACGCTCATCGGTAGCCGTGGGGAAACCTTCTCCTTTGAAAACATGACCCAAATGTCCATCACATTTTGCGCATGTGATCTCAACTCTTCTACCATCTGCCTCCGGCTGATAGATATATAGACAAATACTTATTGTTATAAACAAATCTGTCTTCTTTATACATAGATGCTAAAATATATGCAAAACCATAAGAACGTATTAATTAGATTTTTTTTTTGTTGTTGCTAAAACCGTACTGTAATTAGTTACGTACAGTTTGTTTTATGGCACCGGGAATAGCGTCGAAGAAGGCAGGCCAGCCACAACCAGAGTCAAACTTGGTGGTGGACTTATAAAGAGGCGTTGCACAACCAGCACACGAATAGGTTCCTTCGTCGAACAATTTTGTATACTCTCCTTTGAATCGGGTTCTAAATCAAAATCATAAATTACAATATCAGGAGGACTACCTTTGAAAAAAAAAGTCACCTCATGTGCATCAGTACGACATTTAAACATATCTAACAACGTTGTGCTATATATATAAGTATAAAATTTAGACCATACTTCATAATATTTTTGTAGTATAACTTAGCCGGACATCTAATAGCATTTTATAGTGACTATTTGTTCGTCTGATAACTTCTGGATAAAAACTCAGACTAATATCGGGACCAGTAGAACATTACTACATCTGGGTAATCATATTAGTTTTGAGAAACATTCTATGAATATAGTGAGCTAAAAAAAATTATAGAGCTTGCTTACTCTGTGCCCTTTTCCCTGAGAACTCTAAATTGTTCAGGAGACAAAACCGCACGCCACTCATCATCGTGTTTTTGGACAGATCCAGTTGATGGAGCCGCCAATGTTGCTGTCATTGCCATGGTAAGAAGAGGCTTTGAAGGCAACAGAGAGATGGTCGTGTGTATGTCTTCCGAGAAAATGAAGAATTGATTTGTGAGTGAGTAGAACCACGAAGGGGTGTGGGTATATATACACAAAATATTTTCTTATTCTGAGTCTAAAAGAGCCTAGAATATTCCTAAAAATAAACAACTAGCAAAAAGTAATATAAAACAAGTAGGTCACAACTCACGTCGATCTAGATCTAATTGACAGAGCCTAGGTAAAATTATAGTCCCTCCTTTTCTGAAAAAATGTCATTTTAACATTTTTTACACACATTAAAAATAATTAAAATGTATTATGTTCTTATTAAGTAAAGGGACAAGGCGTTCTTATTAATTAAAATATGTATGTGGTTGGATGGTCAAGGCGTTCTGTGGATCTCTAAAGAGATTCGAGTTTAAATCTACACCATACCAGATTTCTACAATGCGTGTCCACAGGAACTTTCACATTTTTTCTCCAAAATATGATTTACCATTTTTTTTAATTATACATAATTATTCTACCAAAAAGAAAAACATATACTCAACTAATAAGATTGAAAATAAATAAAATTATTTATAAATTCAATGCATTTGTTATTAATAGCAAGCTCAAAACTACTCTAGGATATGTTCCTTCTGTTTTCTTAAAATCTGTTTTATATTTCACATATATTAAAAATAAATAAATTTTAATTATAAATACATTAACTTGTGATTCAATAATTTTAAACCAACACTACAAAAGAAACTATTTTAACCAATAGTTTAACCACAAAACTTAAATAGCTAGAAAATATCCGCAGAAGCTAACTACAATACAACATCTTTAAATTAATACTATATAAATTAATATACACTAAAATCTTTATAAAATAATATAACTTTATAGTCCTTAGTTTTTGGTTCAATTAGTATATCGATAAATTAATAATCTCTATAAATTAATCAAAAGTTATAGTTTTGGTATAGTCTCAACATTATTAATTTATAGAAGTTTGAAAGATTACTTTAAAAACCAAAATATGTAGCTAGTTTGTAACTTTTTATAGCTACTTAGCCACAAAATAAGTTTTGTGGCTATTAGAGTATACATAGCCGTTGACAAATAAAGAGTATAGATAGCCACCATTACCTTTAGAAAAAATATATTGTAGATGTGAATTCTACCAAAATCCTTGACAAAATTCATGGCTTATTTATCCACAACGAACTTGTGGAGGCAAACTCCGACAAATATAACAAATATGCGATAATATTTAAGCTTCTGGGGAAATCCTCTTAAACACACACGTTTCTCTCATGTTAATATTATCTCTTAGTGTGTAAATAACATAAATAACATGAAACAAAATATATTATTATTATGAAAGGAAAAAGCATAGAAATGGCAACAACAATCACAGGAGCGTCACATATGAGTAGGGAAACATAACAATCTCAAACAACAAGACTCAATTTTGGAATTCTCTTGAAGTAGATGAATTGGTCCAGACATTACATGGATATATCGATTTATCAGGACGAAGTTTCGGAAGAAAACTTAAGAGAAACACTGTTGACGTATATATAGATAGCCACCATTACCTTTAGAAAAAATATATTGTAGATGTGAATTCTACCAAAATCCTTGACAAATTTCATGGCTTATTTATCCACAACGAACTTGTGGAGGCAAACTCCGACAAATATAACAAATATGCGATAATAATTAAGCTTCTGGGGAAATCCTCTTAAACACACACGTTTCTCTCATGTTAATATTATCTCTTAGTGTGTAAATTGTGGTTTATGTGTTTTCTTTTAATTTGTACTCTTTCCATTTTTGTTTATACGTTGTTCTAGATTTTTCACACAAAGTAAAAAAATATTAAATTTATTATTTTATTTCTTATTAATATATTATTTAATTTAATTATGTTATTTAATAAGATAAAAATAGAGATAAATTAAAAAAAACTATCAAATAAAATTATTAAAAACATAAAATAATGCTTAAAATGAAACAAAATTTTAACTTTAAGATAATAATCAATATGAAATGAAGGAAATACTGTTTTGTAAAGGCCATTTGGGCATTACAAAGAAAATTATATTGACAAAATAAGATTTTTTTTTCCTTTTGGTCAAAAACCAAGAAAATCAGAGTTGAAGATACATAAAAACTACAATTGCACATGCAGTTTATAATTATTCAGAAAATATTTATACTAGTTAGCTATTAAAAAGTAGTCATAAACTTCATCATAACAGCGATCCAAAAAAAAGACTACATCATAACTACAAAATATATTAGGTAGATTTTGGGACATAAAAGTTAATAATTCACCACAACACTACAAAGGGGAGTCCCTTGTGTTTTTTTGTTCGTACCATCTACCTATGTTAAGGTAATATACATTTTTTAAAATATATTTTATAAAATAGAAGTCACAATTTCATATCATGTGTGATTTTTAAGTTGGAACACTCTTAATTTTTTATTAAATGTATTTTAAGAAGACTTATAATATATAGAATCTTTGAAACACTTTAATCACAATAAATTTTGATATTTTTATTAAAATATATATATATATATATATATATATATATATATATATATATTAAAATTTTTGAAAAATCTGTTTAAGAAGATTTCGACAAGATCTTAATTTTCAAAAGTTATATATAAATATTTGCAATAATTTCTTGATTAGTTTTGAAATATTATTATACATTAATATATTTAGTTATCATTTTTAAAATGAAAAATAAATATCATATCCTATTTTTATTTATTATACCATCACAATCAAGGTAGATATATACTAATGTTCTAAGATAGATAAGATAGATAAGCATTTTGGAAAGACTGTTTCAGTAAAAACTGACGGCGACGCTAATGGCGATTTAGGTTTGGGTTTTTCTTATGGCTTTGGAGGGGGCTCATGGTTGGGATCCGAGTATTCAAGGTAGAGATCTGCTTCGGGGGAATATCTATTATGTGGCGACGGCGAGATCGGGGAGGTGGAGTACGAGATCCATGGTGAACATTTTATTTGGGTTTCTTGGTGACAAGGCTTGGGAAGTAATAAGGGGGAGATCAGACAGATTCGCAGGGTTCTCTCGATTCCAGGTTTGGATGGTGTTGAAATCACAGGGTCTTGCTCTCCTCATAGCAGATCTTTCCTTAAGTGGAGTAGTGGATCAGGATAGTTTCCGATATCACATCAACAAAGATTCTGTTGAGATACTCTCGCGATCTCGTCTTCTGATATTGGAAGATTCTGCTCAATCTTATGAATTTTTTGATTTCAAGAATGGGATTTTATACAGAGATCTAGATATTAATGGCTTGGGATTTTGGCATGAGGAAGAGGTTCATTTGTTTCATTATATAAAGGATCCACTCTTTAGCATGAGGAGGAGCATCGAGAAACCTCAAACAAAACATTCTTTCTCGTTTTGCCTTTATTGTTCTCTGGTTTTGGTTACAATGACTCAGAGTCAGATTATTGGAAGAAATGGTGATGGCAAGGTTGGTGAGGGTAGTCAGAAGCGTTTAAAGATCCCAATCTCGCATTTCAACAATTCTGAGCTGATCAAGAGCTACGATAACACTTTGATAGGGAGATACATGAACCCGGCTGAGCAAAAGGTAGATTCTTTGCTCTTGATGCTCTCGAAGGTATGGAAGGTGGAAGACAGGGTCGTTGGTACGGATTTGGGAAGAGGAAGATTCCAGTTTCATTTTGAGAAGGAGGAAGATATTTTGGCGGTGTTAGATATGCAGCCGTACCATTTTGATTACCAGATGATCTCATTTGGTAGGTGGCAACATCGAATGCCTTCTCAGTTCCCTTATAAGATCCCATTTTGGATCAAGATCGAGGGTGTGCAAGGAGAGTTTTGGTTCGCTGATACATTCCAAAGCATGGGGACGCTATTGGGGAGACTACGGATGTGGATCTGGATACGGGGAAGATAAGAGTGGTCCTCGATGGGGACAAAGAGTTGTGTTTTGATACCACCATAGAGTTCGCTGGTGGTGAGTTTTATGAGGGTGAAGAGGCCTTGGTGATGCTCAAGTATGAGAGGTTGTTTGGTTACTATGGAACATGTCTCAGTCTGTGTAACTATATAGACATATGCCCTTTGACTTACAAGGGTTCGGAGAGAAAGAAGGAGATAAGAGAGGGATCCAGAGATAGGAATGATGACCGTGCTAGAAGCTGTAAGGGGGTGGTGATTAACGGGGATGGAGGGTACTCCAAGGGTGGTAAGAACCAAAGAGAATATTATGGTAAGGGGAAGGGGTAAATGTTTGATGAACATGACTTTAAATGGATCAAGGTCCCAGAGAAGGGGCATAAGAGATCCTACTCTAACCGAAGCAATGGCAGAGTAGATGAAGAGACATCCAGACATGGTAGCTCTCGCAAGGATCAGTCAAGAAGCATGTTTACTGAGGAGTCCCATCTCGCTCTCAAGGAAGGAAACAAGGGTTTACCAGACACGTGAGGAAACAAGGGGTGGAGGAAGGCGAGATCAAGTCTGACCATGCGGATCACCAGATGGTTGTTACTGCACAAGCCGAGGACAAAGTGGAGAGGGGGTTTTCGGTAGAGGTGGAAAGGGGATGGAAGATGGGATGGAGCTAGAGGGGGAGCAGGAACCACAAGTTGGGATAGAAGGGGAGTTAGGGGAGGATGAATTTCAAGACTTAACAGATGAGGAGGACAAGGAAATGGGTCAAGATGAAGTCAGGGTGGAGGTGGAGGATGGTTGATCTTTGATTGCTGAAGAAGGAATGGAGCGTCCTAAGGGAGGTTTAGAGAAGAAAAGGGGGGGGGAGCACGTAAAACTCCGTTTACTAGTACTGCAGGAGGCAACACAAGCAAAAAGTTTCAAGTTCTTCTCTCTCCTCGTAAGCGTAGCGCCTCTAAACAGGGTATCAAGAAAACTGGAGGTTCTAAACAGGTGGAAGAGAAGGGTTCCTCAATCTCTAAGGTGCTTCCAAAACCCTAAATGATGGTTCATTATGATACACAACATACCAAGGAAAAAGTTCA